CTAAAAACCTATAAAACATTGATGAGAGAAATTAAAGAAGACTAAACAAATAAATTGGTAATGATAATAATAATAAATAAATAAAGAGATTGCCATGCTCATGGATCGAAGATACTGTTTAAGACTGTGGTCCCCAACCTACTGGTCCATGACCTATTAGGGACTGGGCTGCAGAGCTCTGCTGTACTCCCCCCTCCTCCCTACCCTCTCCCATTCGTGGAAAAATTATCTTCCATTAAACTGGTCCCTGGTGCCAAAAAGGTTGGATACCACTGGTTTAAGACATCAGTTCTTCCTAAATTGATCTATCTTTATTCAACACATTATCAATAAAATTTCTAGTAGGCTTCTTTTGTTGAAATTGACAAGTAAATACTAAAGTTTTTATGGATGTGCAAAGGATCTAAAATATCCAAAATAATTTTTCTCACAAAAACAAAGTTGAAGGACTTAACCTACCTGATTTTAAGACTTACTAAAAAGTTACATTAATCAAGACAGTATGATAGGAATAGATATATATGTAAATAATGAAACAGAATTGAATATGAAATAGAGCCACATATATGGCTCAATTGACTTTTTTGAGGGGTGGTTGAGATTTTATTCACCTTTTTAAAATGTTTTATTCAATCATAGTATACATACAGAAAAGCGCACGTGATTAGTTGATTTTTGATGAAGATGACATGTTAATTCAATGAGGAAAAGATAATCTTTTCAACAAATGGTGCTAGAACAATTGGATATCCGTATGCAAAAAAAGTAACTTCAACCTGTATGTCACATCATATGCAGTAATAAACTTGAAATGGATGTTAGAACTAAACGTAAACACTAAAACTACACAACTTCCAGAAGAGAACATAAGAGAAAATCTTAGTGACTTTGGGTTGAGCAAAGATTTCTTAACTAGGACACAAAAAGCACAAAAAGAAAAAAATGTTCATAACCTAGACTTTATCAAAATTAAAAACTTTTGCTTTTTAAAAGACATTTTAAAGATACGAAAAGCAAGGCACAGACTGGGAGTAAATACTTGCAAAACATATATCTGATAAAAGACTTGTATCCATAATATGGAAAGGACTCATAATCAATAATAAGAAAAGAATGGGCAAAAGATTTGAAGAGAAACTTTTCCAAAAAGATATAAAAATGGCAAATAAGCATGGAAAAGATGTCAACATCATTAGACATTAGGGAAGTGGAAACTAAAACCACAATGAGATACCACTACACACCAATTAGAGTGGCAAAAATCACAAAGACTGAGTGTACCAAATTGGGCTTAAATAATATCTTCTGATTCATGAGCATGGCAATCTCTTTATTTATTTTTATTACTATTACCAATTCATTTATTTAGTGTTCTTCAATTTCTTTCATCAATGTTTTATAGTTTTTTATTGGTCTTGTACTTATATTACAAAATTTATACCTAAATCTTTCATATTTTTTATTTTATTACAAATGGCATTGCTTTATTTCTATTTCAATTGATTTTTGCTAATTTATGTAGAAATAAAATTGTACATCACATGACTCTGCTAAGCTTATCTATTAATTTAGTACATTTTTTTGCACAATCCATTATTTTCTATGGAGACAATCATGTAGCCTGGTGAATGAAGGCAGTTTTACTTCTGCTCCAATTGGCATTGTTAAAGAGTAACCGTAGCTCTTATACATACTGCTGGTAGAAATACAAAGTGTTGCAGACACTCTGGAAAACATTAGCAGTTTATTTTAAAGTGCAACGTACTTACTACATGACCCGATTTTACCCAAGAGAAGTGGAAACCTAGATCCACACAAAGACTTTGATGCAGATGTTCATAGTTGTTTTATTAATAATAGCCCCAAACTGGAGGACACCCAAATGCCCATCAAGTGATGAATGGATAAACAAATTGTGGTATATCAATACAATGGAATAATACTCAACAGAAAAAAGGAATGAACTATAATCCTACTGATCTACACAACATGGATAAGTTTCAAAAGCATTATCTAAGTGAAAAAAAACAGACACAAAAGCCTATAAAATATATTTATTTCATTCTTGTGAAATTCTAGAGAAGGTGAAACTATAGGACAAAACTTTGTGCCCTCCGGTGGGACAAAGGTAATATACGTAACCTAAACATTTGTACTCCTATAATATGCTGAAATAAAAAAAAATTAAAATAAAGCTTTGTGCATATATGGTATTTTTCTTAAAAAAAAAAAAGAAAGCAAAACAATTTGTGATTCTTTGCCCAACCTATACATCATATTATAGTAGAAGACCTGTAGCTATCTTAAAGATTTTTTAACATATGACAATCAAAAATTTGCTTCCAATAACATGGTGAATGAAGTAGATGACTTCATTCAGTAGATGACTAAGCTGAATTTTTGTTTTGGATCACTGAATTGTGACTATAACAAGCGTTTCAGAAAAGTAGCTCTGAAAATGATGTCCTTAGTAATTGCATCATTGGAATACATTTATAGCCTCACTGGGTTCAGTACTTTGAAGGATACAGTATTTTAAGAATTCCTTTTATAAAAAAATATAATTTAGTTTTACTTTTTTAAATCACTCTTTTTTCTAAACGATCACTTTGAATATTCATTGGGGACAGCCAATAATATCTGATTTTCAGATGAAGAACCAAGATCACGAATCCGTGGAACTAGCCAAAGGCTACAAAGCCCTACTGAGCATTAACTAGGGTGACTAATAGGCCAGCAGCTCCACGGTCAGGAGTCCCTAAAAGGATAAGAAATAATTTTCTAATAAGCAAAGCTGTCTGAAATTGACATGGGCTATCTTGAGGAAAAGATAAATTCCCCCTGGTTCAAGTGGCAACTGCAGGCTCCTTTGGCAGGAAGAGAGGAGAGAAGTTTCAAGCATCAGCTAGGATGTTGGACTGAGGGAAGCACTCTGGGTGTGGGGCTAGAGCCAGGCTTCCCAGATGTGCCATGGCTGGAGGTGTCTTGAGCCTTACATGGGAGACTTCATCTGGCTTTGGACCTTGTGGAGCTTAAATGATAAATTTTCCGTGACATGCCATTTGAGTTCATATTTCAGGATACCAATCCTTTAACCTGTTTTTAACCTGTTGTAACCTGTCAAATGCCCTCATACAGTTCCAAAAGATACCATTCTGTATGGGTTAAAAATAGCCCCAGAGATCATTCACAGTCAAGCAGATGTGCGTATTTCTGTTTGTTTCAATGCCACCAATACCTTTTCCTGACTCACTCAGTTTTCTGGAAAATAATTGATGGATTTAATTTGCCCTCATTATTGTTTTATATGAAGAAGTTGTTAGATCTCAAAATTCCAGAAACATATCTTGGAGTAAATGCTGAAAGGCATGCTTCTTTTTCCAGAAGTACCTGTGGCTTAAAAATACATATTCAGTGCTTGAAAGAGGTAACATCTTCTTCCAAATAGCCTGGAAGAAGAGGGGACAGCAGCCCCAGAAAGTCGAGTTTGCCGATGCCTGAGCTATTCTGCTCAGGACACCATCTTTAATGAAGTTGAAGATTTATTTCATAGTCACGTAGGGAAGGCGAAACTTACTTTCTGGAATGGGCATGTTACATGCCTCCCTCCTTCGAAGTTGAGAGAGCATGAACTTAGATTCTTTTCACTAAATTAATTCTTATTGTAGTCCTTCTGCTTATTAGTTCAACAAATATTTAGTGAACCCTAGTGTGCACGGTACCACGGGAGGTGCTATGGGGAACATAGACACAAAGACAATAACCAACCCTAGCCTGAGGTAACGAAATAGATTTGGGCAGGCAAGATGGAAGAGTAAGCAACTACAACTAAGTATCTGAGGCATGCCGCTGCATAGATTGGAAAATAAGGGGCAGTGGAGGTCACAGGAAGGAGAGGCTATTTCGTTTGAGCTATTTAAGGGCAGGGTGGTTTATATGAGCCAGGTAGTCCTAAGAATGGGACAAGAGTGTTCTTTTTGGCAGAAATGTCAAGGAGAATGAGAGGCAATTACATCTGGTGATTGGGACATCGCTGTTGACCTTCAAGAGTAGGAGTTTCAGGAGAGGATGGTATTGGAAGCCAGACTGCAGTGAGCTACAGGCAGGAGCATTTGAGGAAATGGAGAGGTGGTCACTCATTGTAGCTGTCTAATAGGGAAGGGGGAAGTACAACAGAATCAATGAGAATGTTTTTTTTCTTCATAAGAATAAATTGTTTTTTTGAAGGAGAGAGGCTAGACATGTTTACAAAAAACCAATTAAATTGTAGAATCCTGGAGAACATAATGTTAATAAAGGAAAGAACCACGGGATAATTGTTAGCATTTTGATACGGAAATAAGCTGGCATGAAATATATTTTTGCATTTTATGAAAAAGCATTATATTAAGAAACTCAAATATCATTATTGATTATTAATTCAAGTGGGAAGTTGGGGAGGAGGAAGGATTAAAAGTAGTTCCGTGTTTAAACTCTTGTTCCTTAAAGAACATTAATGTCTTTTATCGTCTATTAAAACAGTAGCAATTTAATGGGATTGTTCCTTTTCTTCTCAATGGCACATCAAGGAATGCACACTGAAGATCAGGGCTTGTTGTGCTGACCACTGTTTCACATCATTGCTTGTTTGAGTAAGATGGAGAAGAAAGGAGAGTCAGGCAACACCCTTGATAGATAAACTTAACAATTTCCATGAAGCTTACTTTACCACAGTATAGAAGTTTTCAGGGTGCTGTCATTCAGGAGTAAGTGCAAGTTTCATTACACTTGATGTCACCAGTAAGTGTGTAAGTTTCATGGGTAGGGCTCAAACATTGAGCACATAATTGCGTGTGTGTCTGTGTGTGATTACTAAACCTTCTGAACGCATATTCCGTTATACTACCTTTTTGCTGTCTGAGATCAACATAAACGCCTCTCGCTCCTTCGTAATGAAATGTGTTGTTCAAAGGAATTGTTTCAACTGCAGGCCTCTCAGGGGTTGCCCTTGTCCTCCTCAGACACAGGTGTGTTTGCAGTGGTGAACAGCCATTCCTTGTCCTTGCTGGGGAAGCTGACGATCAGTGCCGCCTTTAACATTGTTTATATCTACACCTCTGAGCTTTACCCTACGGTCATCAGGTACATGTTTCTTGCAGATGCGTTCTTCACATGTTCTGAGTTTTGTTGTCCGTGCTTGCGCTAAGAGAGGTGTGGAGTCAGTATAGGGCCAGCAGCAGTCCAGCAAGCATTTGTAAACTCAGAGCCTGTCTTTGTAGGCTGCTCTTTGCTTGGCTGGGGAAAGTATAGCTTTATGTAGCTTCTGTAAATTGTAAGAGAAGTACTCTATATTGGACACGTCTCATCACCCAAACAGTGCTCAGGTGCTGTTATTATTTTGGTCAGTTTTATTTATTCAGTCACCCATCCTGTGTCTAGCACATAAAAGACAAGGGAACAGGGTTCCTGTTCTCACAGAGCCTGCATTTTAGCACAAAATATATACATTTTTGAAAGATAATTTCATATAGTAATAAGCAAATATTAGATTTAAATATTACTTGTTAAAGCTGGTTTTTAATGAGTAGTTACATTGAAAAGAATAAATTCCAAGCCTAAATTTGCTCTCATAAAATAAGTCTGAAAACAAAAAACAAGCCCAAATTTGAAGGATGGGGGTACAGCTTAAGTTTCGCAGAACCTCCCATGTGGACTGGGCCAGTATGCCCTCAGCCAGTCCTTTCCCAGTCTGTTTGAGGATCATCCCAAATAGATACTTCTCCTTCCCTTATCTGTGCAAGAAGGCTCATGGGTCTTCTACCTATTAATTTAAAATCCCTTTTCCCAGTAAGAGATCAGATTGTCTGCAATTGGCTGGTCATTTCCTGATCGATCCTACTGCCCACTTCTCTGGCTACTGCCTGTAAAACTAGGATGATGACTTTGTCCAAACTGGGACACTTTTGAGAACAAATGTGGGTGTTATTAACAAGATCAGCTGGGATAACAGAGTTTACAGTCACCCTGCCTAAAACCGTTACCATTCTCTCTCTCCTCCTCCCACCTCTTTCAGCCTGCATTCCCCATGAAGGTGATTGTTCTTGGTTTCCTGGCACTATATGCTTAGTCAATTCCTTTTAATATGTCTGACCCTGTGATAGTTAATAAGTTGAGTTTAAATAAATGGGCAGACTTTTCAGACATAAACCCTGGCTCTCTGTAGCTATATTCACTGATGGGAAACCCAAGACACAAAGATCTACAAAAACATTTGATAAAAAGTCTTCAAATGCTCATTTCTGCATCATCCTCTGTAACTGCACTGCTACAACATGGCAGTTACTAGCCTCATGTGGCTATTTAAATTTAAATTGTAATTAATTAAAATTAAATGAATTAAAAGTTCAGTTCTTCATTCTTACTGGCCACATTTCAAGTACTAGTAGTTGCACATGTCTAGTGGCTTCCATATTGTACCATGTAATTATAGAACATTTCCGACACCATGGAAAGTTCTAGTATAGGATCCTGTGCTTTTACTTTACGAATACTATTCTAGTCCCACTACCCTACCCCCAGGGTCTTTTAATGCCCCTTTAGAACTTACTAATTTTTTTTCTTTCTTCTTTTTTTTTTTTTACTTATGCCTTTCAGGAATGTTGGGCTTGGAACCTGTTCCATGTTCTCCCGAGTTGGTGGGATTATTGCACCCTTCATCCCCTCACTGGTTGGTTTGTACCTCCTGGTTATGTTTTTCTCCATTCTCTGCTTTGGAAATGCTTGTGCTTTTGAGTAGAAAGAGGTAATGAAACAGATGTCATTTAGATCAGGTGACATAAATGTGAACCTTGTGCTTTTTAGATACTATTCCGTCAGGGCAGATGTGCTCTTACCAAGGATGCATTTGTCCTTGACGGGTCTGATTTCTTGTTCATCTGGATTCAGTGGAGCGTCAGCTAATGCCAGCATGCCTTGTTCCTGTCTCCATCAATAAGTTAGTCAATTAGTAAATATTTATTAAGCCTCTGCTGTGTGCTAGGCTATAGAGCAGGCTATAACGTTAAGCACGTTACGTATATCATTGCACGTAATCCTCACAATAACCATAAGGGGTAGGCATTGTTGTTACCCCTGTATTGAAGATGAGAAATGCTACAGAAAGAGGTTAAATACCTTCCCCAAAGGCACACCACTTGGAAAAGAAATTTAGAGGCAAAATATGCCTAGCAGTGTGTCCGTTAATATCTTTTTGGCATTTTCTAAGTTTCATGGTCAAAAGAAAGGGGGATAATACTAAATCCTTCCAGCCTTAAAATACTCTGAAAAACCCAGGGGGGCCCTATGCAAATTTCTCCTTGGTCTGATTTGTGACTTTTGTAGCCAAGACTGTTGAAAGGTGACTAGATCCAATATGGGCCTTGTGGACCTGTTCTGTAGACAACTGTTCATTCATTGCTTAGAAAACTTAACTCACTACTTTTTAGTAAGGGATGTCTCAGAAATGCGATTGTAGCCCTTTCATTTTCTGAGTTGCAATACATTTTCTTGTTCTGAGTGTCTCTCCATGTCTTGTGCTTAATTTTAGGTCGCAAGACCCTTCTTAAGAAGGAGTCATGTTAACTCCATGTTTCATTCTACAAAATGTAGGTGTTCATTGTTAAAGAGATCCAACTCTGGATGGCTATCCTAGAGCATTAAAATAGCCAGCACTGTGTTTCTGCTGATTGCTGCTAAGTTTAGAAGGGGGAAAGTGTGTGTTCCCCTTGCTTCAACAACACACCCATGGTACTGGACGTGTGTTTGCATGTAAGGGGCTAGAGATGATTCTCCTTCCTCCTCCTCCTCCTCCTCCTCCCCTTCCCTCCTACTTCTCCATTATCTCTTCACTTTGAAAAATCAGGAAAAAATTGAGGGGAAATCCTAATTAGTAGTGGATCCACCCATAGAATTCAGAAGCTCAAACCAGAAGATCATAAAGCTTACCACCTCCTTTGCCTGAAATCTAGAATATTGATCATCTCTGAAAGGCTCCAAAGCAGCATCCTGCAAGCAGTTGTCTACTGTGTTATCTTTGAACCTGTTTGTATTGAAATATTTCAATTTTTCCGATAATATCTTTTGGATTGCTGAAACAATTGCTTTTATCACCAGCCTGTTACCATGCTGAGTTTATGTAGTTTAGAAACCATGTATATGTGGTAGGGTTTTTTCCCCCCAGAACTTTTACATCTTTCATCCCTGGACCTCTCAGTTACGGTGTTAAGGTATATGGGATGGTTTGGCCAATTCCAGGGTCGAGAACTTTAAAGTTCATCGTCAGCAAATATTTTGGGATATCTCTTATGAGAAGAGTATGTGGGGATCTTGGTGTTATAAGCCGCTCACCTGGAGTGGAAGCTGAACACCAGACTTCTGTCAGCTCCAGCCACTCAGCCTGTCTGGCTCAGGTCAGCATGGCGTCTTCTCCCCCGGTGCTTCTGACCCACAGACCAGGGCTGGGTTTTATTACTCACTCTCCTCTACATGCCTGAGGAGTCATCCTAAAGTTCCGCATGGTAATTATCTATGAGGAAAAGGTGGTTGGGGGTGTAGTCTAGCGGGAGGCCTGAACTGGATGGTAAACATGGCAGTTCCTGGGTCATGAGACTGCTGGTGTCACCTGCTGAGGAAACTAGCCTCAGTTTGTGTTTGTTTTCATTCCACTCCCTGCCCCCGCAGAAATATGTGCAGTGGTCTTTGCCCTTCGTTGTCTTTGGAGCCGCCGGCCTGACCTCGGGCCTCCTAAGTTTGTTATTGCCAGAAACCCTTCACAGTCCGTTGCAGGAGACGTTTTCCGACCTTCAGGTGTATTCATATCGCAGGCTGGGGGAGGAAGCGTTATCTCTGCAGACCTTGGATCCTCCACAGGTATGAGGTTATTTTTCTTGATCATTATACCACTTGGATGATGACGGTTGTTGAAAAAAAGACTGTTCGGGTTGGATTAAATAGAACTGAATAAAACCGGAAAACAAAGGTGGAATCTAACAGCAGATTGATTTCAGAGAAAGACATGATCGATGCTTCATTAGCTTTCTTAAACACTTTAGGGGCTATTTCTTGGAGGAATAGGTGTCATAAAAATATATTTGCCAGTTGAATAGCTAGACAGTAATTTTTACTTTAGAAATGTCATGACATCATTCCATTGCCCTTTTCTCCTTTCCTGTTTCAGTGTGCGGACAAGGAAAGCATTTTAGGGAGTGAAAGTGAAGAAGAGGAAGAATTTTACGATGCAGATGAAGAGACTCAGATGATCAAGTGAAGAGCTCCAGATTCCTCCTCCGAAGCAAAGATTGTCTTTTATGCCTCTAGCTAAGGCAGGTTCTTCCATGAATCTTAAGAGGGTTGTAGAAAGACAGGCTTGGTTTGAACATACACAGATGGTATTCGGTGTGGACTGATTTTTTTCAGGCACCAAGGGAAGTTAGAGAAGATATTTCATGAGAGACAACATCACTGCATTGAAGGAATAGTTAATTTATCCAAAATTCAAGTGCAGCTCAGAATCATGACCTCTGGCCGAATCACTCAAATGCCCATTCTGGAGTGGTAGGCTGGTTTGTTTCTAGAGGTTTGATCACGTTGCTTTTCCTTCATCATTACCTAAAGGCAGAAATGTAAAATTTCTCACCATTTTAGTGAGATAAGATAAATAATCCTTAAGATTTAATCTTTAGCTGGGTGTGGTGGATCACACCTACAGTCCCAGCACTTTGGGATGCTGAGGTGGGAGGATCACCTGAGGTCCGGAGTTCAAGATCAGCCTGGGCAACACAGCGAGACTTCTTCTCTACAAAAAAATTTAAAAATTAGATGAGGGTTGTGCATGCCTGTGGTCCCAGCTACTCCAGTGGCTGAGGTGAGAGGATCACTCGAGCCCAGGAATTCAAGACTGCAGTGAGTTATGATCAGGCCACTGCACTCCAGCCTGGGTGACAGAGTGAGACCTTGTCTCAAAAAAAAGATTTAATCTTTGTACCATGTTTGACATTTGCCCCATCAGTTGCTCCTTATTAGGAATCTTCTGATGTAGATTGATATCAGCATTTCAACTTTGTGTCCAAGGTCATTTGTGTGTCCCAAGGCCCTCTAGCTTTATCTCAGCTGACAAAATTAGCGTCCTCAGCTTGGTTCCCAGCCTGTTGGTTGACTTGGGTTCCTTATACCTTTAGTCCAACAGATAATTCATTAATAAAAACCCGATGTACCAAAGCAATTTACGTAGAGACAGAGGTACAGCTGTGGCTCCCTGTTAGCTCCCTTTGATACTTAAATTGTGTGATTTCTTCAGTTCCCATTTATATGCATCTCCCGAAAAATCTCCATCTAAGATTCTAGTACTTCAAAATCATGCACAATAAATAATAAAGTTTTAAATAGAGGGAAGTTAAAAAGTGATGTGTGGCCAGGCCCAGTGGCTCATGCCTGTAATCCTAGCACTTTGGGAGGCTGAGGCTGGAGGATCACTTGAGCCTGGGAGTTGGAGGTTGCAGTGAGTTGTGTTCTCGCCACCGCGCTCCAGCCTGGATGTGACAGAGCAAGATCCTGTCTCAAAACAAACGAACGAAAAAATGTGACATGTTGAGCATGTGGATGTAAAGAAAAAAGGTGCAGTTTTTAATAAGGGAGAAAAGAAGTCTATCTTTCACAATTTTTTTTTTGCTTCCAGTGTTGTGCAGTAAGGGACTTGGGCAACATTGACGACCCTAAACTCTTATTGTCCTGGATTAGCCTGTACCTGTTTAGTCAGAATGGAAGGCTCAGTGATTTCCTAGGAAATACTGGTTTTTCATTAAGTGCTACCAACTTTAAAATGAATCAGAATCATAACTTAGTCTCCTAAAATCATGTGCTGAAAATATCTGTGTCCTCTGTGAAACTCGAATACCATCTCAAATAGGAGTATAAACCCGGAGGCAACAAGCTTAGGCAACATTGCTTCAGGTCACTTTCCCAACTTGGAAAACTTCTGTGTTTTCAGAATTTCCATTTCTGCTAATTTCTTGGAGAAAAAGAAATTGCATTAGAGGTAAAGAGAAGATGTCACTGTGTCTGCTTCTGGAAATCTTGAAATCATCACCCCCAGTTGACTCTAAATACTGTCCTGTTCTCTTCCACGTTGACTTCTCAGTTTGTACTACATCAGTCTTTCCCTTTGTTTTTATTAAAGTATTTTTATGTCCTTTATGCCCTTAATTATGTATTGAGCTCTTCATAAACAGGGCCCATCTCTACTACGGTTTATTTCTCCCTGCCATGCCCAGAACATTGGCTTAGACACAGGAAGGACCTAATAAATATTACTGTTTCAGGGAGATCGTGGAATTCCTCCCAGTATCATTTTTGCAAACCTCAGGCAAATCTGACCCAGACTCCCAAATTGTGGATCCTGTTTTTCTTTCTCTGGAAAATGGAGACCTGCTCACCATCAGGATAGGAAGAGAGGAAGAACTTAGACACTTGGAAATTCTTCTTAAATGGTTGGGCGTTTAAAATAAAGCAGTGAACTAATGTATAGATAATTTTTGATCGATTGGGGCTTTCTTTGTGTTATAAGAGTGATATACCCCATTATGGAGAATTTGGAAACTAGAAATTTTAAAATGTATCACCCATAGACCCAACATTTGGAGACAACCTGTGTTATAGCTTTGTTCCATTTGAAGACCAGTTGGGAGTCCATCTCTGTTGGCACCTGTGTTCCCTCTGCCTCTGGCTAGATAGATGAGAATTTAATTAGTTCTGTCCCTGGATCTCCTCCTTTCTCGGCTATAGGCTGGAAGAAAGGAAGGAGAGATCCTACAGTTTGAATATGTGTTGCTTAATAAGGCTGGGCTGGCCATCAGCTGCTAATGTCAGATGTGTCACTAAATTTTCTTTCTAGATGGTTCTTTAGCAAACTTTAATAACTACTATTTTTTATTTATACCGCCTTTATAAAAGCAGATTTTTTCCATTTGGATAATAACTGCTGAAAAATATTGTTTGTAGAGAATGTGCACATGTATATATTTGCATTGATTATATTGGAAAACTTAATTCATAAGTAATGCATATTTTGTTTGTACAGGTGGATTTGTAAAAAGTATCCTTTTTTTTCTATTCAAAATTAAATTTCTTTTCTCCTAAATGCAGTAAGAAAAATGTAAGACACATAAGAAAGCCAGAGTTTGCAGGGTTAATGTTCTCGTTAACAGCTTGTCTAGCACCTTTACACCACACAGATAAGTTGAAAGAAACCGTGTTGCAGTTTTCTGATTTTATGAGTTAAAACTACCACCCCATTGAAAAGCCAATACTTGTCATTCAGTTACTTTCAGGCAATGCAGATATTCTTTAGTATTTTCAAATGAGCAAATAAAATACAAAAAATGTACAAAACAAAAGTTTCTGGGGCATTACTTAAGTGACTGTAATTTGGATGGCTATTTTTATGGCAGTGAAATTGATGAAAATATTTTCAGTAGATGATTTTTATTCTTAACAAATACATATTGGAATAATTGTCACTACTACATCAGAATTGAAATACAGCTTTCCATTAGGACTTACTCCTTCATATAAATTCTTATCATTGGTTCTTAAATTGGCAGGGTATCTATAAAGGATTAGAATTTGTTTTAACTAAATAAAATGCAGGTATCTTAGCTTCTTGTGAATTTAATAAAGGATCACAAAGCATAGGCCTTTTCTTTCGTTATCACAGAATATCTCAAAATGCATCTTTGACAAATTGGGCAAATACAGAACCTGTTAGAGATTATGGGTAATATGTGGAACAGAGGTTGTAGCAAAGTTGAGGAATCATGGGTACAAAAGATAACTATAAAAATACTTTTGAAAGAGAAAAATGCAAAAACGATGCCATGTGGAAAATCTATCAAAGTAGTACATCACAGGAGAAAGACCTTATGATTAGTACCTCAGTAGATACATGAAGATTATTTGACAAAATCCAACACCCTTTCAAAATAAAAGCTATTAGCAGACTAGGAATAAAAGGAAACATTTTTAACAAAATAAAGTCTATTAGATACGATGAATTGACACACAGCATCTGTTCACCTTCCTGGTACTTTGGCCTTCAGACTTTTTTGATTATAACCCACAGCAAGAAATGTTTTTTATATATTCATTCTCTCTCCTCCCCCCTTAAAAATATGTACATAGCTATAAAGTATTTATAAAACATATATAAATAGACATATACTATATATGGCTATGTGTGTGTATATCTATAACTTTCATGAAACAATACCTATTGATAGGCACACCGATAATTTGTATTCTGTTCTTTCTCATTTTTTAAAATGCCATTTGTGACCCACTAAGTCAATTTAATGACCCACTAATAGGTTGCAACCCATAGTTTGAAATCCACTGTTCTACTCTATCTTCTTGTACTACAGAGACTTTAAAGCTGAAACGTCCATTTCCTGAACGCCCTTGAAGCGAGGCTTCTAGGTGCAATTTAGTTCAGTTGATCAGATAGAGATGGAATTTGGAAGTTGGACATGCGGTGGAGGCCGTACTTCTGATGGGTCTGATTTTTTCTGCTCAGATTCGCAGTGATAGGGCCATTTGGTTTCTCTAAGGCAGTGTTAGCCAGAGATATCATTCAGGGGCAATATGGATTAAAATATATATATATTTTTTACATAGAACCTGGAAAAATAGTCTAGTATTCACATGGAAAAGCAAAGATTTAAAAATACTGAAGACAATTCTGCAAAAGAAAAGCAGAGAGAAGGGACTTGACTCGCCAAATATGAAAACTTACGAAGGTGTAGTATTGGTCGGCAGAAGACAGGAGATCAATAGAACATAGTAGAGATCTTAGAAAAAGCCAAGCACATGTAACAATATGGCATTTGTTAAAGATGATGACACATCAGCGGGAAAAGAATGCACTATTCAATTATTGATATAGGAATGATTGGGATTTTATATCAAAGAAAATAAAATTAGGTCTTTTTTCCTCACTGTAACAAAAATAAATTCCCACTAGATTGATGAACTAAATGAAAAAAAAGCAAAACTTTAAAACTATTAGAAAGTGATATTGGAGAATATTCTCATGACTTTGGGGTATAGATAGATTTCTCAGACAAAAACTGAAAATCACAAATTATTTTTTAAAAAGATTAACATATTTGACTTTGTCTAAATTTAAAACTTCTGTGTGTATGCACACATCACAAAATAAAAGAAAAGCAATAGATAAGGAAAAAATATTTGCAATTTCTGTAAGAGATGAGGATT